CCTCGAGGGCCGACCGCTCCAAAAACATCCTCCTCTTCCTCTTGAATTCCTCTTGAATTCCTCCTTCTTGCAGCTCTCTCAGGAGCAGTTAAAAGACTCTTTGCTTATTCAGATATTCAGACAGTTTCTGGTGAAGGGTGAGGAGTCAAGAGAAACATTCCTCACCAAAGAGGAAACAAGTGTCCTTGAAGAAACACGATACCGTCCCTGCTCGCGAGGGTAGCGCCTGATTTAAAAGAGGAGAAGAGGATAACATCACAGAGAGGAATGAAGGAGGGGGCTCAGGTTCCTGGACCACTTGAAACGCTTAAAGGGGTTTTCTTTGGAGCCCTGGGGTCAGGGATGCTACAAGAGGAAGTAAACAAGTCTGTGTGAAAACAGCGGGAAACGCTCAGACTCAAAAGCCGGAGTGAAGGATGAAGGATTGTTAGGAAACCAGGAAAAGGGGGTGAAGACTGAGTGAAGAGGAAGTCAGCTGGTGTGACGTGAGGGAGGATGGGACGGTGAAGGACAGCAGGGGTAAGAGAGCTGAAGGAGTGATAATAGATAACAGCTCACACAGACAATAGTCTCAGGTGCGGGCCTCACAAGGATGTTGTATCCTGAGCTAATTGCACCACGGGAAGAGCAGTTACTCAGGGCTATTGTTCCACAGCGCCTGTGATTAAAGAAATCATTAAAACCCCAGACAGACAAAAAGATGGTGTTCGACAGCAAATATGAAGTCATTGCTCAAAGTCAGGAAAGAGAATTACATATTAAAATGAAAAAATTAAACATTCAGCTCTTATAACCTTGAATTTAATGTGATGACGACGAAATTAAGAAGATCACTCATGATGAAAATGTAGAAATGTGATGGTGAAACAGATGATGAACATCTATTTTCTATGTTGTATTTTTGGTAACTATAGTGTACATTTTGTGTTAGAAGTAGGAGGTTTTAAAGTCCTTTTGTTTGACCCTTTTTTGTTAGTTCGTTTGTTGTGCTTCGTTAGCTTAAATCCCTTTTTGTCTCTGAATTTTCCAACATGGAGGTTTGCATTTCCTCCACCTTCATTGTTCTTCACAGTAAGTAAAGACCTGGTTTAAATAGGTCGAGGCGAGTGTTTTTTTTACCCACTTTTAACTCAGTTAAAGCCATATTCTGCATTACCAAAGAGACACTTAACCAGGCCTCTTAGTAAATACTAAGAAATACTCCCACAAAGTTGCGTGTATAAACAATATATTCATTTATCTAAATCATTTCTCCTCAACAAAATTATCAGTCACATACAAATATTTCTCCCTTTCCTTTTGCTCACTGGCAGACAGTGCATGCGTGCGTCTTGTCAGAGCAGCAGATGCACTGCACTGTTTTATAATGAATGAATACACTTTCCGGGGTTTGGTGTCTCAGAGCGTGTTTCTAGATAAACCACTGAAGATGTACGGTAAATACACGGGGGGAAAAAAACGGGCTTCCGTACAAAACCCCAGACATTTGAAGGATTTTATAAACTCCACCCAAACAGGCCGGACAGACCCCCAAAAGAGGACATGTCCGGGTAAAAGAGGACGTATGGTCACCCTGGTTTAAAGCTGGTTTATTTTCACTGCAAGGTATTGTCACTGCAGGTTATGTTGTTTTATTCAAACTACTGCAAACAAAGGAAAGGTATGCCAAGGAACTTTTGAAAAAACGGGGCTGCATTGTCTGAAAAGCCTTTTTCTTTACTTATTCACTTAGTAAGGGAGGGTGAAGTTTTGTACCAAAGCTAATTAAAGCTCCTGTTTTCTGTCCGTTTTGGCGCCCCCTATGGACAAACCAGTTGTCCTTTACATTCTTTAATCATTAACACTGTTTTTGTGCATAGTCTATGTGGAAATCGTACAAAAAAATCTATATCTTCAGGTGACACTTAACATAGATTTAGGGCAAAAGTGCAGGAGTGCAAAAAACTGCAGTTCCTTAAGTGTCCACTAGAGGCCAAAGTCTAATAACACCCATGTTTAGCAATAAAATGTGTTAACTACATTGTGTGAAAAGCCTTTTTCTCTACTTGTACACTCAGTGGGGAAGTGTGAAGTTTTCAAACTTGTTATCTGCCAGAGAAGTCATGTGAACCTGAAGTGTCTTTACCACAACAGTTGCTGCAGCTGTAATTTGGGAAATAATCACCTCAGAGACAAAACAAACAAAAAAAAAAGTGTCCTAACAACACGACGAGTCAGACCAAAAACAGCCGACACATGCAGAAAATGTCGATGATAAAAACCAGTGTACCAGGTTTTTCACCTCCGGGCTTTCACTGCTCGGAGAAAAGGAAATAGAGGAAAAGTGGAGCAAACATTCCTCCTCCGTACAGCGGACAGAAACAGACGAATCAAAGTGGTACCAGACGTGATTTCTCTCTTGTGTAATGGTTCAAACTCTGCCTCTGGCTCCACATATGTTCCGGCCTGCTTGGATTATAGCGCCGTTTCCCCCATTTTACATGAAATCCACAAACTACCCCCTCTTTCTTCTTATCGGTGGACGATGGGAATCTCTCTATTGACGAGTCCTCTTGTCTATCAGAGGCGATCATTACTGACAGACTCGGGGTCTGTTGATGCGGCTCATGTTCTTCAGCTGTGTGGGATCAATAGCGGCTCTCGGTTCCTTCTCTATTGAGCTAATGGTAAATGTGATGGGACTCTGGGAAGTGCTTCTCATTAACAGAAACTAGCTTTTAATGATGTCCACTCTCATTTAGACTGATGAGAAGAATTGATCCTTCTGCCGCCCATTGACCGCCTACTGTTTGACCTTTCGGACCCGGAGTTTCTGTGGTTAAACTGTAACTCCTGCCAGAGAGGTTTTACGACGGGTCAGGTTCTCTGCATCCGTCAGTCTGCATGAGCCCACACAGGAAGAGGGTGAACGTGGAAAAAAAAAAAGAAGGTGGGAAGAAACGAGTGTAAGGAGAATAATGAGGATTCGAAAAGTGGGCGATGATGATGGAGGAAGTGATTTTGCTGCTTTTGCTTTTTTTCTAGCCTCCAGCTCTGTCTCCCATCTGATCCCACAGGCGCTGTCTTCGCCCTCCTAGACACTCTCCCATCGTCCCTTGTGACCGGCCATAGCCTGCAGGCAGTCATGACAAATGAGTGACAGAGTTGCACCTTGTTGCCCGTGTTCAGGGACCCCGTATAGGTGCCCAGTGGTCATTATACTGCGAGGGGAAAACCCCAAACGACCTCGCCTCTGTGCCCTCAGCTCACCTCTTTATATGCTAATGACTCCTCGAAGCTGTGTGATGTGCTAATTTGTAACAGCTTGGCCAATCGGCAGGGAGCTTTTTGGTTGCCATGGTGCCACCCAGCAGGAGAGCTCTGGTACCGGGGTGAGCTCGAATGGTGGCAGGTGGTCAGCAGGACAATTCGGGTTCCTGTCCTGTCAGCTCACCTCCATCATCTGAGCGTGAGCACCAGCTGTGGTCAACTTCCACATGTCGTGACCTCCAGATAACCACCACAGAGAGGTCGCTCTACCTCGTCCAGATCTGTATTATTCTCCCTTTTGGTGTTAAATCGCCAAATCAGAGCAAATTTGTACAACAAGGTAGTGATCAGTCAACAGCACAGCAGACCGGAGACGGATTTAAGCTTATTTTAAAATTACTGTAATTGTTGTTTTAACTTTTTGGAGGTATATTCTTCTGTCTTAGTATTTACAAAAACATTTACTGGGACGTCAGTGTCAAAAAAGAGTCATAAGCATGCGCCAAAGCTAAGTAAAGCTCTTGATTTGTGTCAGTTTTGGTGCCCCCTATGGACAAACCAGTTCATCTTATCTTGTCCTTTACATTCTTCGATTATTAATACTGTTTATTGTGAATATTTTATGTGGAAACTGTATGAACAAAACTGATTTATTTAGCTTATTTCAATTGCATTCACTGTTTTTTTTTAACTGTTAAAAATAAATGGCTTGAATTTGCTTTAATTATTTGTGTTTTTCAAAGGGTTTAACCTGAGCCGGACATTACCACAATGATAATCATATCACAGTCATGCAGGCCTGTATGACTTTTTTTTAAATAACACACTGGTATCAGTACTCGGTATCGGGCGAAAGCCACAGCGCAAGTATCGGAATCGGTATCTGGAGGGAAAAATTGGTATCGTAAAATCTCTACTACAGTCCTTGTCTGAGTTACTGGCATTTCCACCTTTCCACCCTAGGTGGCGACATGCCTCCTCTCAGCTCCTTTTCTACAGGGTCATGACACGCTGGTTACCAAAACAATCGACAAAACGCACAAGTGGATGAATTTTACCTCAATATTTTTGACCCAAAGTCGTGTTTTAGCGTTTTACGATATTTTGTTTGCACAGTCTTCAAAAATATCAATACTACTCTAAAATTCTCTAAATAAATCTGTCAGTTTTAAGTCAAATGTTAATTACAGTTTATGTTTTACCAAGAACCACAATAAATCACTTGGGGACAGTTGGTACATTTGGATGCTAATGTGTCTAAGAGGCTATCCCCCCACTTTGAAAGACCACAAGTGCCCTAATCCACAACAATCACCTCAAAATGAACCAACTTTCCACTGGAGATAGTGGCTCAACAATAGGCCTCCGCTTCTTTTCAAAGAGCCGTCGAATCAGTCATTCGCTCATTAATGAGCCGCTGTTAAAACACATTGTTTCTGCCGGCGGGGAGCGAGGAGGATCTGGAGAGAGAGATCCTTCTTCACAGGAAACTTTCACTGTAAAGAAGACTCCTCACAACAGATTCCTCACTCCTCCTCCTCACTCCTCCTCCTCCTCTTCTTCTTCAGGTCCACACTCACATTGTCACCTAAGCTGGGGCTCCAATTAAGCCATGCAGCTGAGGAAGAAGGGAAATAATTGGGCTGTTTGACCACTAAAGGATGAGAAAGTGGGCTAAAAAGGGGCAAAGACACAATAGCATTAGGTCTCCTTTCTCACTCAGGCCGACGCAGATTTCTACTCATTAAATTGTTTGGAAAAAAAAGGGATAATGGCAGATTGATTAGGACTAATGTTTTAATTCTTTCACCAATGTTTAACCAATTTCTCACTCCTTTTCCCCTTTTTTTCTCGCTCATTGAACAAAGTGCTTTCACACGCTGTGAACCACATTAGCTCCCTCGGTCTTAACTTTGTTTAGCAGCTCACAAAACTCCATTTGTTCCTGAAAAATACTGGCGCTTCACCAGCAATTAGGCATAAAAGCGAGTGTTTCTCGTGAAAGCTACATAAATTTAAAGCAACGTAAAAAAAGGTGAGGTTGATAGATGACGGATTGTGTTTGCCTGTCATTTTTTACCTCCAACCCTAAGGCGGGCTGACGTTAAGGGACCGTGCTTGTTGAATGGGTCTAGAGTCCCATCAATCTTTGCTTTGGCTCGTGGGAAAAAAAAAAAAAAAGGAGTCTGTCAAAACTATAAAAACTTGGCACAGGAGCAGAACAGCATAAACAATCCACGCTTATCAGAAATTAAAGGGTAAAGCTGTCGACATCGGGGAATGTCAGCGCCCTGTGGTGGATGGGAGCGGGAAAAGCTAAATGACGATCATTAAGTGGAAATAAAACTCCTGCGAGTCGGTGCGTGCCGCACAAATGGGCATGTCTCTGTGCCAGTTTGTGTGGCATGTTGGTTTTAGCTCCAGTTCAGAAAACTGCTTTAAAAATACTCAATTCATCAACCAAAAGCCTCCTAATTATTCAGCCATGTCTTTACCGAACATGTCTCATAACCCCAACTACCCCGTGATGTATATTTACCAAATTAGGAGCCCAATTAGAAGTAATGGGCCCTGCAGTGTAAAATTTATTACCATTTGGGTTTGATTAAGTGCAGCAAAGGCTTCAGACTGATTGTTATTACCGAGGTGTAGGCTTCAATACCACTTAGTCTTTTAAAGCATTACAGAAACACTTAAGACCTGGCTTCATGGAAAAGGGTTTCTGGAAAAATGCCAAAGAATACCGCTCCAAGAGGAGGGAAGAGAGACACTCCAGTAAAGCAGCGGAGTTTAGGCTGGAAAAAAAGCACCTTTAAGGCTTAAGCAGAATCACACCCACTCAGAAAGTGAACATGCACGGAGAAGTAAAGCTACAGTAAGAGGTCGATAAAGCAGTTTAACAGAGATTCTCTCTTTTTCCCAGTATATAAGCGCTGAAAAAATTAGGTCCTTTCCACTCTTTCAGCAGGGGACCAGTGGACCTTCAAATACTAAAACAGCTCATATTCAAATGAGTGAGAGGCCAACTGGTCGTTCGGGTAATAGTGAAAATATGGAAAACTTTTACGTTTGTTCGATACAACAGCTTCTTTTCTTCTGTTAAGATTTTGTTACCTATTTTGCTTCCTTGAACACTTTGATGCCGTTTGACCTCCAGATCAAAACCTACTGTGGAGTGTGCAGAAGTGGAAGGCCAGTTTGGGTCAGATAGATGTAAATCATTATCTTGGTATATTAGTCCATCTACTAAGAATTCAAACAGTGCAATTACATTAGGATTAATTTGTTCCCATGCACTTTATAAGTCCTGTTTCAGTCAGGCCTTATGCAATAAATTGATTTTTTAATATCATGTAAACATGCAAACTGGCGATGGCTAACCACCAACCACATTATCAATAAACTTCTTTCTTCTTTTTCTTCTTTCTTTTCTTCTTCTACTTCTCCTTCTTTTTTTCCCCTCTTCTTCGTCTATCTTTTCTTCTTTCTTTTTCTTCTTTCTTTTCTTCTTCTACTCCTTCCTTCTTTCCCCTTTCCTTCTTTTTTCTTCTTCTTTCTTTCTTCTTGTTCTTTTTTCTTCTTTTTCCTTCTTTCTTTCTTCTTCTTTCTTATTTCTTCTTCATCTTTTTTCATCTTTTGTTTCTTCTTTTTTCCTCTTTCTTTCTTCTTCTCCTTCTTTTTTCTTTCCTTTTTTCCTCTCTTTTTTCTTCTTCTTCTTCTTTCTTTTCTTCTTCTACTTCTCCTTCAGTCTATTTTATTCATCATCTTTCTTTTCTTCTTCTCCTTGTCTTTTTCTTCCTCATCTTTCTTCTTCTTCCTCATCTTTCTTCTTCTTCTTCATCTTTCTTCTTCATCTTCTTCTTCTGCTTCTCCTCATTCTTCTGAACTCTTAAACATTTATTGTTGCATTAACTAAGAATCCCTGGACATGTCTTAGAATTATCTCATAAAAAATTCACACCATATTAACACTGATTGAACATTTCCAATGTGCGCTTACGTATATTTCTTACACTTTAACACCGCTATCTTAACACTATACCCCACAGAAGACGCTTTTTGGGAAAGTTTCCTTTCTCTAAGCAATGTTATTTGACCGCAGTGGTGTAGCAGAGCAGCATTTATTTAAATACTAAATCTAAAAGTCAGTACTGAGTGATGACATAACTTTTTTTCCTTAGTTGTTGCTGAAATCCATCAGCCGACTGATTAAATCTTGGACAAACCGTGTTCTGCGTATAAAGACACAGTTTTCATCAGTCTTCAAAGAGAACCATTTCTGAGCGGCAGACTATAAAGAGACGGATCTAATGAGTATGCTGATGTTTGTTAACCACCGTGTTTTGGACCCCTGTGTAGGCGGACAGCGATGTGATGCACTATCAGAGTTCAGCTGTGTTTGCTGTCCTCGGTGCACAGGTTAAAGATTGATGCCCGCCCCGATCCCCGTCTCCTCCCACTCGCACACTCACTTTTTCTTCCTTTTGTCCCCGCGACCAAAAGCAGAATCAAAGAGCGTATTGAACAGACCTGGAGCGCCAGCACACCCCATTGCACATGAAAAACTGATAGGTTCCTTTGGAGCCCTGAGAGGTAAGCCCCCCGAACTCTGGGTTTCTCATTGTCCCGGTGCACTTTGACACAGGTCCACAATGGAAGCCCTATCTTCAGCTATAACACAAGCTCTGAAGAAGGGGCTGAAAACCATTCAACCTGTCATTAACCCTTCTGGAAACCAGAGAATGGGGTAGTCCCACCGTAACACCCTGCCCCATACACCTCATACTCCACCCTCCCCAACAGACCGACTACCCTCCAGCGGTACAGCCCCCTTTTGTCCCATTGTGCCATGAGTGATGGATTCTGGCGGATGGGATGAAAATGAGGGCCGCAGAGAGTTTGGTAGGCTTGATTGGCAACTTTGGATACCCAAACCGTCAAGAGAGAAGACAGGAATAACTATAGTACACCTAAATAGGCTGGTCCCAAAAGGAGAAAGGGCAAGGGCCAGAGTGCTGACACATCATCATAATGATAAAGAAAGAAGTCCCTGTAGAGAAACCTTCTGTGCAGCTTGGCCTTTTCTCTGGTGGGTTAACTTGATCTCCTGTGAATGCTGATGGAGGATCATGCAGATATTTGGTGGGCGTAGAGACGGCTGACAGTGTTTTACAGAGGCCCTCTTGTGAAGCACAGGGGGACATTATAAATGCTAAATACCAAGCCGGACCCAGATGATCACCATAGCCCGCGGCAATCAATAAGTGAATGGAGACCAGGTGGTGATGGCGCCATTCAGAAAGGAAAGAGGAGGACCCAGATTTTACCAAGTGGAGCAGGAGTGAATACACAATAGAGGTTGAGAGCGGGAGATCATAAAAGTGATTGGACTCAAGGTGGAGGAGGATCAATGGATGTGTGTCGGATCTTAAAGCCCTGAGGATGGACATTAGTACAGGCCAGACCAAACCAACTTTGATGAATGTTGGGGGGGAACGCTCACACCCCCATCCTACCGACGATTTCAAGATGATTTTTGATGCAGTTTATTAAACTTACCAACAAAAAGAAGAGGGCGCCATATGGAAAGTCAAATTAGGATGACTTAAAGAAATGCATTTGTGGAGTGATGGGGCCTAATTGATACACCAAATTTGTGGTAGCATCCCTGCATCTATAGTGTCGTGAAAACAGCTAAATCAACATAAAAACAAGCTTCCTCTAGAGTTGTTCAGATACCGATACCAGTATCAGAAAATGCTCTGATACTGCCGAAAATGCTAGCATCAATACCCGCGAGTACTGGAGTCAGTCAGTCCTTTTTCTTTAGCGCAATTCTTTACGAAAAAACATCGAAAAGACACAAAGACCTCACAGATGCAGTGGCTTATTGAATTGCAAAAAGCCATGCTACCAATTAGCACTTTTAAATTCCATTTTTATATTGTCATATATATAGATATTGACTGATATGAAAAAAATATGTCATGATAAACTTTTTCCCATATCGCCCAGCCCTAGTCTTGCCATCAAAAGTCAAAAGGAAGTCCTGCTGCAGTCGTATGGCTTCAGTCGTATAAGGAGACGCTTGATCATGCAATGCACTGTTCACCACTGTAAGTGTGTTTTACTGGACTCTGGAAACAAAGGCAAAGACACGCATCTGCATCTGCAAGAGCTTCTACATCAACATGTTTAACTGATTTACTCAAAATTCAGGACATCTTAACAAGCATGTCTACCACAACATTCTCACCTCCAGGGCTACTTGACCAGGAAGGAGAGAGTTGGAGTGTTGCGTCAGATGACCTGGCCTCCACAGCCCCCTGACCTGAACCCTGTTGAGATGGTTTGAGGAAAAGCAGCCAACAAGTTCTCAACACCTCTGGAAAACCATGATATCTGACGTCTTTGGTTTTAATTGTAAATGGTAGAAATAAAAAATGAAGGAAGACAACTGAATGAGTCTAGCCCTGATGTTTGTGTCAGACTTGCTAAATCATGTGATCTGTTACTGGAATCAATTGAAAACCAGATTTTCAAATTAATACCCTTTATTCACGATAACTCAAAGCAGAAATTTGCTCGTCGATGAGACATTTAAACAAACACCAACCACGGTCCGCCTCCACACAATGTGTCTCTGTTCTTTTAAACAGAGGAAAATCTCCACCTGCCCTTTAAAAAGGCTAATGCATTAATGACTCCGCTCTGAACTCTGTGATTCCAGCTGCTTTGCCACGTCTAATGCGATCCAGGTACGGGTTTAGCCTTCACTTAACTCTAATCCCTGCACACTTGATACTTTCTTATATGTGACTGTAATGCAAACACGGTGCAGCGGCCTGCAGAGCTGCTTAATGTGATTGCAAAGAGGAAGGAGGGGGCAAACATAAAACGATAAGCTTTGCCTGTAGAAGCGTCGCACATTAATATGGATCAGGTGGAAGCTCTTTTCTTCTTACTTAAAGGATCTGCATCCCGGGAATAAAGGAAAGGAAAGAGGATTTAAGTTGGACGGTGATTGGGCAACAATATGAAACAATAAACCCAAGTGTTCCTTATTTACAGCTTTGCTTTAATGTGTTTTTAAGTGAACTTGAAGAAGGCACCGCCATATGTTAGGGTTGGTTCAGCTGATCAAATGATAAATCACAGATACAGAACAGCTGCTGTATGTAAGGGGCACAGCTTACACGGATTAACTGAAAGGAAAAGACACTATAGCTAAAAATAAGAAGTGAAGGGAAAATGAAAAACATAAAAGATAAAAACGTTGATTTCCCTAAAAACTCCTCTGTCACTGTCTTTTTATATTTTTTAGTCATAATTGATCACAGCCACATTTTTCATTCACCTCTCGATACTCCCTTTTGGACTACATGGATCAAAACGAACTCGACATCTTCGGGAATAATCATAAATATATGTTAATCATATTTTGCTGCCGCTCTGGTTTTAATTACCTCCATGCTGCTACAGCCACTGTATTAGGTAACAGGATGAATTTTGTTTTGCATTATGTAAGGGTTTCCATTCAGGAGAGCTGCTGCAGAGGGAAATGTGGAGACAATCACCTCACTGGTTGTGCGTTTAAAACAAAGAAATCAATGTTTTTTTTAATGTGAGACTGTTTGGTGATTTAATAAAAAGTCTCTTGTTTAAATAAATATCCGTGCTGAGGTCCTCAAAATATGAAATAAAGACTGGTTTGTTCATGTTTTTTCTGTCTTTCGAAAGAGTTGTTACAACATTTGTTATTTTCAGGCTGTGTTTTCTGGACTGGATGAACTCACTCTGTTGAAAATGCCACAACAACAGTGATTAATTCTCAGTTTCTGGTGTCTGATAATTAAATTATCAATCCGCCAATCAATAAAGAGTAAAAGTATCTTCATCAAAATTCATATTAAATCAATCTGTGAAGGATAATGGAAGGAAAATTCTCCACCTCCTGTTGATACTGTGGGGATTTTTTCATTCCTTTTTTAATTCAATTTCCAGTGAGCAACTTTCTGTTTGTATCAGGTTTGGCGCCCCCTGTGGACAAAACTGTCATGTCCGCTCTATGCCTACACAGTCTTCTAACAAAAAAATCTCATCCCGTCAGTTTTATGATCAAATGCATCATTAATTGTGGATATTAATCTTGATGATGTGTTAGTTATGAATGACTCAGCTCTTGTATTGAAACCAAACCATGAAGAAACATCTAAAGTAGAACAAGCCTGATCCCGCTGAGCTAAATGATCAGGTTCCTTTAAAAAGAGCCTGAATTCCCATCACTGGGACTTGATATGGTTTAGTTGTTTTCCTGAGAATAAGAGGGATCCAAACTCTGCTCTTACAAGGTAAGACGGATCACAGACCCCTTGAGCATTTAGCACACTTCCCTCATAGATTTAAATCTAGCCACACAACCGACATTGAATAACTTTTCTTCTCAACAATAACATCTTTGGAGGATGACTCAAAGTCAAGGCTGAAATCTGTTTTGCTGCCCTCAGCTCCAAATGTAGCTTCACGTTCTGTCATTCTGTTTACTTCTCTGGCAACTCACAGAAGTGAGCAGGAAAAGCTCAACTCTGATTGGCCTGTTGTCACACACTTTTCTGCTATGTTTGATTGAATAAATATGCTCACAACTGATCACCGTGATGGAACTAAAATTTATCACAATCATTGATCACGATCATATAATCGCCCAGTCCTACTTCTAACTCAGTTAGTCCAACTTACACAAACTAAAACTTCCAAACAAAACCCTGGACATTTTAAGGATTTATAAACTCCCCTGGACAGGCTGGACAGCCCCCCAAAAGAGGACATGTCCGGGTAAAAGAGGACATATGATCACTCTATTATAGTACCTCTCTAGTTGCATGTTTCATAGCTCCTTCTGTAGACGACTTTCAACATGCTAGAAGGCAAATAAGTTTATACCAAAGTGTAGCTCTGATATCTTGCTTTCAACTTTCTTTGAATGACTTTGTAAACCCCAGGGAGGCGGAAAAAAGAAAGTCTTCCCTTCTGTAAGAATTTCACAGCGTTTGTCCTGCATTAACCTGGTCTTGGGGATCATTTCACTCTGAACCTCAGAGCTGTGGGTGCTGATGAGCTGGAGCTCCCCCGCTGAGAGTGTAATTACAAAAGTCTCCGATTTGTAACCTCCTGTGAGTGAGTTATGGGCCGAAATTTAAATAATCTATCATTGTGATACCTGGAGAGAGCTGCGTTTGTGCTCGTCTCATATTACAGTCTTTTCAAGTCAGCTGCTTGTAAGATGACTCGCTATCCTTAAGCCCATTGCTCTATTTTCTAAGAGGATAACGTCGCTGGTATTTGCTCGGATTAATCATATTTGCATTTCAGACCAAACTACTTTCCTCCAATAAAAGAAACACACCGATACAGAGCGCAGTCTTCACAGACGATCAAAAGAGACATACATGCTTTACATGTGGGCCATTCTTTCCTCTGAGGATAAACCGCTATACTATCCCTCAAGCCTGTGCAGACCCCCCTCCTCTTTTCTGTTTCCATGCTTAGATACAGAGATTACACTTTAAATGACACCAAGAAAAGACTATGAAACAGATTAACTAAAGAGCCGAGACTCACTGAGGTTCGTAAAAAGTCATCAAAGGGACACGATTGAAATATAACAGGGTTTTGACCAATCAGAATCAAGTATTCGAATCAATAAGGTAATAGGCTGGCATGAGCTGTTGTATCATGTTGATGTGATCTAAATAAAAGACCATCCAATAGAAAATGAGCAGAATTCATGAGAATTAAAGGGACATTAAGGCGTAAAATTAAGTTAGGGTCAAACAGCTTGCTTCTCTAGTTATATCAACTTTAATAATGACCGATAGCAATACAGAGAGCCACACGCTCAACCAAAACGCCACTCTATAGCCACAAATAATGTTCAGAACAGCACCTAACTTCATCAACAGTACATATAGGGTCCCAGCCATAGTACTAGCCACCAAACATCTTTTTAACTTTGTCGAATTTCTTCAGCAAAGAGACTAAACACAACTCACCTACTCTCTTCCAGCAGCCACTTGTTTGTAGCGAGACCTCAGGCCAGTCCATTACGGACTACAGCGGGGTGACGCAGCTCAAGGAAGAACATTTATGATCATTTCTTTATCATTTCCTTGTAGTAATAATCATCATATTAATCATTTTGCACTGCAGACGCGGTAGTTATTCTGCCTTAGCGTCTCAGTCTGATTGTATTTCCATGAAGAAATAATCATGACTGTTCTTCCTTGAGCTGCGTCACCCCGCTGTAGTCCGTAATGGACTGGCCTGAGGTCTCCATACAAACAAGTGGCTGCTGGAAGAGAGTAGGTGAGTTGTGTTTAGTCTCTTTGCTGAAGAAATTAGTCAAAGCTTACGGTGTGTTTGACCCTAAATTCATTGTACGCCGGAATATCCCTTTAAAAAGTCTTAAAAAGATGGCCATGATTGAAATCTAATGGCATTGCTGTTATTGGGTTTTGACCAATCAGAATCAACTATTCAAACTCGTAAGGCAATGAGCTGGCATGAGCTGTTGTACCATATTGATGTCCTTTAAAAGGATCATCCAATCAAAAATGAGCAGAATTTATTAGAATTAAAAAACAGACCCTCTACAGTCATATTTACTTAATTTCAGTTTTAAAGATCAAGATATGATGGTAGTTAGATTTTAAAAAACAGGTGACCTAAAACGCCTCTCTGTCAGCACTAAAACCACAGGAGGCTGATATTCAGACTGGAGCAAGTGTGCCCTATAAAACACCAGTAACCGCTGTGAGATTTTTTAGAAAAGGTTCGGGAATGTTCGCCGAGACCACGACGGAGAAATTAAATGCCAGTTTGAAAAAATGTTAAGAAGGCTGGAAATTTTTCTCTTCCAGTTTTTTGACCTGCTTTATATCAGCGTTACAAAGAAAATACCCCAGCGGTAACCCTCAAATGTGTTTGGCCCTGAAATAAGTCTGGTTTGCACTCATCTATGGGGAAAGGGTTTTTGTGCGGCTTCTCATATTGGGGCTGGAGTGAAATATCTTAAGTGTGTAAACAGAGGAAAAGGGAAATTCTGCGTGACGACTGTTGCATTTTTCAGGAGAGTTTGAGTGGCAAGTTTTACTCCTGCTCTCTGAGGATTTATTCCTGCTCCATCCATCCATCCATCCACCCATCCATCCATTCATTCATTCACAAGTCCATCCAGCCATCCACTGAGCCATGAGAGTCTTCTTCATTATCTGTTGAATGCTTGCTTCATTTGCCTGCTCAGCCCGGCCTTGTTTGAGGGGATTTGAGGAGCGAGATTGCTAATCCCAACTTTGAACATGAATCAGCGTCCAGGGGGAAGGCCTCCTGGATTCTCAGCCTCTTTCTTATGATAATGGTCCAATCAGTATGGCCGGAGTGATGAAAATGCCAGCCGGCTTATCTCAGTGGGACAGCTTGGCGATGGGGAGGGAGGCCTGTCAGAAAGACAACAAGAACCTGTTTTGAAATGAGGAGGCTGCAGCTCATACTCCTGCTAGCAACTCACAGCGGTATCTTTTTATAGCTTTGCATGCGTGTGCACATTTTTAAGTGCGTTTTTCAGGTAAATCCGATAAATACATGCATCGGTATAGGTTTTGCGTGCGCAGCAGGTATTTGCATTTGCATGAATGCACAGCAGGTTTGCAGGATGTGTTTGCATTTGTGGTGTTTATGCATGCATATGTTGTTTGCACCGCTGATGGAGCTCACTGTGTGGGACAGGTGAGGGTTCGCCTCATAAAAAAATGGGATGGGTTCACGTTTCTGAAATTGATAACTGCTGACCGGGAGATAACAGCTCCGTTTCAGAAGTGAGCTCTTGGGATCATGCACAGGTTATCATAAAAAGCATGCGTCTACTTTGGGTTTTTAATTTAATATTGGTTTTTAATATGCAGTAGAAAAACAGGAAAAAAATAGAGCATCTCACAGCTACACACAAAGGCCAAAAATGAAAAAAATCAAGAGCAAATCATTTAGATTTTAAAAATATGACTGTGATAAGGGACAGGGTGAATTTAAAGAATATTTGTGATTGAATTAAAGTACAAGTTAATAATTGACTAAATCAGATGTGATGTAGACATACTTATGCACAAAACCAAGTAAGGGCCTGTTTCCATTTATAGTTTTCTCTTCGAGGAGAATGGTCCTGACTGAAATGCAATCAGTATTTTTATCACTCAATATCCTCAGTACAAAAAGACCTGTGCTTACAATGCTTCAAGTTAAAAATACTTTAATTTCTGGTACACCACCAGGTCCCTCAAAGTCACTTCGATATTTCTAGCCAATAAAAAAAATCAAGAAAGTATGGAACTGATTTAACAGGGGGGGAGGCAAAGTGCAATGGGATAACTTTTTCAGTAAGTGCTGCAGAGAGACTCTTGAAACTTGATGTCAAGGGCGAAAAATGCTGTTAATGGACACAGGCCCTTAAAAAAAAAATTTAAATCACTATTAAATGGATATCAGAGCCAAACTATTTAAAACTACTATTTATTAATTTTAAAATTTATTTTCAAAATTATTTTAAATTCTGTTAAGTTTTGGTTTATTGGGTATTTTATTTATTTTTATTTATTTTATGTTTATCTATATTGTTGTTTTATGTTTTAATATGTCTTTTTGCTTTTATTGTTTTTACTGTCTCGGGCTATTTCACTGTAAAGCACTTTGGTAGGCCACTGGCTGTTTTTAAATGTGCTACTGTATATAAATAAAGCTGACATTGACATTGGTTATCAGGAGAAGAAATTTTTAAAAATTTAATTTTAATTTAAAACCTTACCTTGCAGCTTTTTCATATATCCAAAAGTAAAATAAAACATCAGGGATGAGTTTAATATTTGTATATGATAATTTTTAGTGCTTAAAACTTGTAGTAGGGGGTCAGTGTCAGCCAAGCAGCTGAAGAAACATCCATGTTTGTATAACTATCAGGATAACATTTTGAGTCAAGAGTCACTACAAAATATGAAGGAAAGACTGCTTTGTCCACAGGGGGCGCCAAAACTTACACTGACTGAAAGTTCCTCACAGGAACTTTAATTTAAAATACAATATATCTATTTTTTTTAAAGTTTTCTTTAATTCTGATATCAGCACTACTTAAAAAGTCAGAAATCAAGGTTATTGAACTAAAAGTGTCACATGTTGTATTATGGCTCACTTCCTGACCTAAAAACCTGATGATCTTTCTTTCCAAAGGCATTACATCCTCCTGTACCGATTTGCACTTGAACCGATTACGTGATAAGAGTGAACTTTCTGTATGTGTGCCACCGCCTGTGCCAATCTTGTGGACATGACAACAGGTGCCTTAAGTCATCGTTGGCGGGCGGTGAAAGGGCTCAGTCACATTGCAGATACGTTCTATGGGAGGTATTATAGTATTTGGCATGAATGAAACGTGTTAACTGTCAGTAAGGTGGAGGTTCCTGCCAGCTGGGGAGGAGCAGAGGATGGGAAACTTGCTGTGTGTCCACCACTGTACATGAGAGCTCCGGTTACAGTGAGGGCATTATGCCAGATTATGGGGCTAAGCAGGGGGCACTGTCTGTCTGTCTCCCTGCTGGTGTTTGGAGAGGACTCGGCCTGGACTGGACACACAGCTGTTCCTCGCCGCTCTGCACCAGACACTCAGGCGTCCAATAAAACTGCAGGAGTTTAAGAGTGTTTTTGTGTCTGTGGCAATATTTTTGTTTTGCTGGAGAGGATTTTTTTGCCCATTTGCTTTAATGTCTGCACCTGTGAACTAAGCTAACACACATGTATTTGGATTTGTCACTTTCTGGTTGTCAGCTACACACATTATTGCTCGTCACTCAGTAACTTTATAACAGCTATCTTTTTATTTCCCTCCGAATGCTTTAACCTTTAGAACTCCCAGCTATATTATATTATGTAAAATGAATGTGACTGTAGATTCAGAACCATCAAAGTCGACCAAAGAACAAAAACGGAAATTGATACCAACAGCACTTTGCTCAAAAAAACTTATAAATCTACAGTGACCGAGCCTTTTCTCACCTGCACATCATTCTCTCAAGTCTTGGCTATCAGGAGAAGAAATATTGGGATTGGAACAAACACACAACAGAAACTATTTACATATTTACACTAACTCTTCCAGGCGTTTTTAACTATTTACAGTTGTTTTTGCCACTCCTTGAAGCAGTTCCTGTCTGGGATGGGACAAACGGCCACATCATACTGCTCATATTCTCTTCTCTGCTTGTTTCCAAGCATTGACGACCATCACTCCTTATTTTGCAGACAAGCAAAGATCAACCAAAGATCTTTTTGATCTTTGGTTTCCTCTCATTGGACACTACTGTCAAGGGAACAATAAAAGAAGAATATGAGACCATGTAATTGGTCGAAAGTTTGACAGAAAAAGGCTAAATCAAAACAGCTTGAAGACATTAGCGGCATTTAGCAATAGCAATCTTTTTTCATCGCAAGAATATGATAAATAATCATGTTTTTACTGCGGATTCACCATCAAACGTCTCTGATCAAACAAATATTTTTGTGGCTGGATTGTAAACCTTGTGGAAGGCGTAGAAATGCCCGGAAACCCTCGATAGATCGCCAAAAGGGTAAACTTTTGAACACTTTTTATCCCATAGAGATACACGGAACAGTTCCTGAGAAACTGTAAACAATATTAATGGTGTTAATTAACTCTGCAGCATTTTCCTCTTCAGTTACTCTTACTTCGTTTAAACTTCTCCCACAGTCATATAACTATACTATTCTTTTAAAGTAGCCGCACTAACACAGCTTATGTGCTTACAAATGGGAGCGGACCCTCTCATTGCCCACTTTCCGACTGTGTGATGAGGGAAAAGCCTTCTGCGATGTGGTGACTAGAGCGGATAACTTCTCCAAAGTCTCCCCGGGGCTGCAGCTCTGTAATGAGTGGCCATTATCACCAGAGAGTACACTGCTAAGGAGATAAGAGAGATCCAGTCTGCGGACAACCAGCCCTGTTCACTGTCACGACCCAAGAATAGCCGAATGACGCTGGTATCACCAAATTAAAGACTCTTCTTCTTTCCTTTCTCTCTCTTTTTTCGAACCATTACCTCAACGGTTTCTGGCCAGCATTCATTTCTCTTCCCTTTCTTCATTTTCCTGTCAAGTATTTTGGCCCTGACTTTACTTCCTTTCTCTTTAATTAAATGAACTCTAGCAGAGGCAAATGCCTGGACGCCTAAACGATGTACTCAGCATTAATTAATAATAAATAACTCAGTCCAGCTTCGTCATCTCTTTCTAAAAATGTGTTTTGGCCTGTTTTTTGAAGAGGCATTCAGAGGTGACAGTCGCCATGTTGGAAATGCTCTGTACGTTTATATACACAGCAAAGTCGAGCTACGGTAAAAGGCATTAAACCAGACTGTTGTTCTTGTCTTGGTTGACAAGGCAAGAATCGAGTTATTGACAGAAGCATGTTTGCAACTGCTCCAGTAGGTGGCAACATTTTCTTTTTCTCCTCGCTACTTCTGGACTGGATGTTGATCAACGACATCATCTATCAAAAACTATCCACAAGTGTGTCGGCAGCTGGCAAACGGGCTGTCCATTAGTGTTAGCGGTATGACGGTATAACGGTGCCTACCAGTAGAAATTTTGCTATAATGTTAATACTGGAGAGTCTGCTGCATCTCTCTGAGTCAGTGTGTAGTTGTCTGCGCTCGCTAACAGGAAAACCGTAGCGCCTCGTGCTAAGTTTGTTCGCTCCGTTTGGTTGGTCAGGTTTGGGTGCGCTCCCTATTATCACCAGCGCGTCCAGCAGACTGCTTGGCATAGTTTCGACCAAGAGGAAACAGCTTCACTGGTGGTGGTCATGGCGGACGTGGAGATTAGTTGCAGTACCGAGCAAACGGAGGCAGCCCGACCCACCCAACACAGGAACTTGTTCCGAAAAAGGGCGCGAGTCGTAACATCGGTTGTCTGGAGATTCTTCAGATTTAGAAAATCCGACAATGATCAAAAAACAAGACTATGCAAAGAGTGTTGCGTGGCTACCATCGCTGGAGGACGAAATACCAGCAACTTCTTCCACCGCCTAAAGATGAAACACGCCAAGCTCTATAATGAGAGCCAAGAGATGTGTGGCGCACCCGCTGCACCAAAAACTAGAGTTGTAGCAGCTCCTCTCATATAAAAAAGTTTGGCAGGGTCTTTCACCAAAGGTACACCATATAATAAAAAATCACCAGACTGGTCTGACATTTTGTTTACATTTGTAAACAAATCTGAGTCTTACAGTAAAAGGAAAATGAACAAATGTGACAGTATGGTCATTTTCAAGTCATCAATTGAAATTACAGGGGTAAAAAACATACAGTGATACCGATATTGTGATATAAAATTACTCATGTTACGTGATATAAGATTTTCTTCATACCGTCCAACACTCATGTCCCTTGATGAAAACGCCGTCACTTTTACAGCTCTATGTCGTTTTAACAAATGATACAACAGCTTTGTCTTTTTGACGTCTCCTTGTGTCCTGTCAAGGTTTTGTTTACTCCCCTGGTTTCCTGGCAACACATTTAATTCCGGGTCCAAACCCAGCATGTGAACTCTGGAGCATGTGCAGAACTTTTAGGCCAATGTCAGTCTAAATGAGGCACACCCACTGGACTGTCTGTTTCTATCAGACAAATTAATTTTTTAATAACTGGCTGACTTCTAAGAGATTTGGTCAACATAGTTGGATCATCAAAACAGCATTCCTGCTTCCTGGAAATGGCGGCTATGTGAGCGCGGTCTATGAATATGGTCAACGCCTCAGGATTGGTAGGGCCCAGGTGGGATTGTGCTTGTCAGAGTTGGCAGTGGGAGTGGATAACAAGCGGGCCAAGGATCACCGTGATTACAGGCCCAACCCGCCCCTCGGAGAAAACGCTCTCTCCATCAAAGGACAGGAATGGCATGTGCGGTGTGCCAGCCGAGCGCCGTCCCATGAGGTCATACGCTAAAAAGAGCGAGATGGACGCCGTAGCCGCAGATGAGAGCATGTGTCGTGTGTGAGTGTGTGACATTTGGGCCCGCTCTGGTTACATTATGTGTGAAATTTTAAAGTGACATCACGTACATAATCATTAGCGCAAGGTTGAAACTTAATACAGCTACGAAATGGAAATGCAAATTGTCACAACATGTTTTAGGGGACTCTTTAAAGGGAAGTATCGCACAAATTCACAGTGATATAGAGAAATCCTTTTCCCCTGGTACTAGGACAGAGCCTTCTCCACTGCTGCCCCACACACTCTGGAATTCACTCCCCATACTCTTTTACCTTTTACATTGTTGGTCTCCAAATTTTCTATATTTTAATTGTGTTTCTTGTAAAGAGTCTTTAAGCACTTATAAAAGCGCGTTATCAGTTACATTTATTATTATTGTTGTTATAATTATTACTGGAAATGTCTACAGTGTGATGATATATGGTCCTGTAACTGCTGTGAGTGGGTAGGTCAAACATGATCATTTAACGCATGTTTAAAGAATATTTTGCATGTAGAGTGATACAGGAAAGTAGGACGGGATTTGTTTTTATCTGAAAGCATCAGGCACAGAGAATAAAAAGGAGGCGCCAACTTTGATGAAAACAGAAAGCTCCTTAAGGGAGCAAACGTGAAATAAAGCTTATAATGACATAAAACTGCAAGCAGACTCAAACAGATTCTCAAATTGTTAAAAATGCATTTAATTCAGTGACCTGGTGTCATCAGAATACACAAAGATGTAGAGCTGCGTATCATCAGCATAACGGTGGAAGTTGATTTTATGTTTCCTGATGACACTGCCAAGAGGGAACTTGGAAAGGTTAAAAAGAAAAGCGCAGGGCCTAAAATTGAACCCTGGGGCACACCTCGTGATTTTAAGTGCTTTGGAGGGGCATGTGTCAACAAGTACCATGAATGTCCTGTCTATGAGGTAAGAGATGAACCATCTATGGATGGCACGCTTTGTTTGCAACTTTTGGTGCATTTTTCATTCAATCTACATACATTTTTACAATCAAATTGCCTATTACAGTTAAATTATCTATCAATTGTCACTTAGTTTAAGTCCTTCAACATTTAAGCTCCAAAGATAAAACACTGTCATTCAACTTTTTGAAAAAAGTAGATGTTCGTTGAAGTTTAACCATCATAGAGTTATATCTACATAGATCTACTGTCTCTGTTTCTGTCCTCTGAGTCTAACAAAACTTCCTCATACATCATTTGGTCGGGGGGGCTCAATACAGTAAATAAAATCTGATTGTGGCTCGAAATGAGCAAAAGGCGACATAACACTCCTTCATTACCTTCATGCTGAAATGCATTATGGTCCCATTCTGCTGAACATCTGGCTGATTAATCTGCGCACATATGATGATTCAGTCTGTTGGCCCTCATCTGGTCCAAGCCTGGGCTCCTCCGTGAACCTGCCTTCGCTGGACTTGATATGAATTAATAGCAGTGTGTGACATCTGACATCATCCGAAGAGGCAGGTGTCTCTTTGGCGTGACTGTCCACGGCGTCCACAGCGGTGTTCATCTGTCACACCGCCACGCCTGCCCGTGCTCAGCTAAATGCTCATCAATCACATCTGTCCGCCGTCTTCACCTCGTGATGCCAGTGCGCTGCCCAAATGAGGCTCAGACCAACCGCCATCTCGGTCTTTGTTCGCTCTTTTTGCATACGTGCCACCCTTCACACCCTGAATCTACATCTGCACTCATCCAAAACCCTGACCCCCAAAGACCCTCTAACTGTGGGACACCTGGAGCTCAGCAAGGCCGCTTTAACACCCAGAACTGCGCCCAAAACATGCTATAGTGACAACCTGATGGTCAGCTCATCAATCATCAATTATCTCTCACTTTTATTTGCCACTTTAAACAAAAACATTCACACATTTTTGCTCCGTTTCTCCTCCAAGCTTCCTTTTCTTCTGCTTCCATTAACCGTCAATTCTCCGTGGCGCCGCCCAGTTTCACCACGCTCAAAAAAAACGTTTCCAGCCAGCTTTAAGAGCGGAAAGCAGGTGTGAAAACAAGCCCGGGACGTCAAGGAGGAGTGACAAAACGGGAAGAGCTGGAGGATGGAGAGGTGAGGTACGCTACGCTCCAGTGAAGGCTGCTGGGTTTAGTCTGTGGCTCCTTCATGTGGCAGAGGAACATTAATCATTCCTCCTCTCTGACAGGACCTCTGCAGCACACAGACGTACACCCACACACACACATGCTAACATGCATGAGCACCCACTCGTCCGTGCCCCCAACCTCCGCCGCCACATAAACACGGGAGCACGCCTGATTTTAGCCAAACATGCCCGACGATCACCATCATTTCCCATTAAACCATCCAGCCATCCATCTCATGAGTCGGCCTATCTCGTCATCCATCTTCCTGCTTTAGTAAACACAAGAAACTTATCATGAGCCATCGAATCTGCTTTTATTTTCCTCTCGCTCTTGGCAGCGGCAAAAAGAAAATAATCTCTCCATCACACACGGGGAAAATAAACTGAGGGTGAGGAGCTACGTAAACTGTGAAATGACGTCAAAACCAAACAAAAGTGAGAAACAATGAAGCGGGTTTCTCTGTAAACACACTCGGAGGAGATTAAACTAAACCCGATTATAAACCTGAAAAGACTTCTGGGTGGAGAATGAGGGACCGTTTTATTGGTCATACATCATTTTCATGTGTTTCCTCAGCTTGAGCACAAATCTCATTTTTTACTTTTGCATGCAACAACTCTGTAAACTCTTTAATATTAAACAGATCCAAATATGCACACAATTTAAGCACATCCATCATCACTGACGTTTGTACAAACCAAATTTAGAAGAAGAGAGGATTTAGAAGGACTTGGCGGCTTGAGAACTAAACAAAATCTGTGTTTTTGTGAACTTCCACAATCTACAACAGAGTGACATCTATTAAAAACATTTCATACGACATATTTCCACCGCCCTTTAGTGTGAGATGAATAAAACAGACGGGAATTTACAACCACAAATGAAAAGAGTCGGGTCGCTGTGTAAAAACAGATTTCGGTGGTTTATTTAAAGTAGCGCAGAGGCGACTTATCAGATGTTGGAATCTTATAATATTATTGTTTGCTGAAGAATGCTGGATCCTTTTAAAGTTGATGTCAACAATATGTTTTGGAAAAGTTAAAACAGAGACGAAAATAATCCTGAAAGGATCTGAATTGAAAAAATAATCAACAAAAACCAAGAGGGTCAATTTACGACAAATCTGTAACACAACAGAGTTTCTTAGAAGTAGAGATGGGATGAAGTTGATCATAAAGGAAATCCTGTATGGCTCTGATTTTTGGGTCCTTCAATAAAAACATCCATGACTCTGTAGTGGAAATCTTTTAGCATTAAAGGTGGGGTAGGCAGGATCTGAGGAAGTGCCAGTTTTTGGGGAGGAATCTTGAATGTAAACTCTACCCCTCCCAACCAGTTTTCCCCTCAGCTCCTCCCTCTCTGCTCCATCAAGCCCCGCCCATAAACAGACGCTCCTGCTCGCTCATATCGTTTCAATTAAATTCAGATATAATGCAGATAAATACTTCAGATAATTACAAATGGGGCCCAGTCAAGGTGAAAGTAAAAAGCATTGGTGCTACTGTAGATGCCAACATGTAGTGGAAATCTCTGCATGGATATGATCTCTATGACAAGACTGTGGTTAAAGTGTCACAGAAAGCACTGCAATAAAAAATGTAATGACTCTGTAGTGGAAATCCAAGTATTTACGGCTGTTATCTTTGTAGGAATGGAAAACATTCACAAACTCCAGAAACTGGCCTCTCTGTTGTTTACAGCAAGAAGAGTTAGTGCAACACAATGGTGGAATTTCCAAACATAACAGTCCTGCTAGCTTTAAACTTAAAAAGAGAATAAATTTGACCTAAACATTAGTTTCTATTTCAGTTTCAACTAAATAAAATGTGCAAACCACCTAAATCTTTGTAAACCCCAGTTTTTAAAATCTGAGGCTGTACTATCTGCAAGTTCTCTGAGTCTGCATGTCTGGATTGTGGAGAAATACCTCCATGTCATATCATATTTCTTCCTTTTTTACCATCTTTCACTTGTTTTGTGATATACTTTCCCTTTATGAGGTCCATACATCATTTTTAACACCATGTCAGTAATGGAAAGAGTCAGAGCACGGTTAAAGTCACATAGAGCATCTGAGGTGTCGTAACAAAAGCCGCCACTAGGGGCTATCTACTCCACAGGTTTCTCCTCTTGATAGCAGGGAGTACCCCAGCTTCAGTCAGCCACCTCTCCCTACGACAAAGGATTAAAGGCTGAGGACATTATACAAAGTGCGTTATTGCAGCTGCATGCATTAAGCTAATGGATCCATCACAGCTCAGAATGAATAAAAGAAAAGGGAAGAAGCACTAAAACCAGAGAAGTCCAGAGAACAACCACAGTTTTCCACATTAATCCAGCATGTGCGAGGCTGCTTCTCATTTCTGAGTGAAAACAAGGAATGTGTGTTAGTGTGTGTTTTCTTGTTCAAAGAGACAGTGACGGCTCTGCAGAATCATCCACTGAAATGAGAAGGCACAAATTACACCCTTGAGGTTTTCTGCAACTGCATTCGAGTACTGTACGAAGTATGCGCTTTTAAATTTTGGGAGAGGGGGAAAAAAAAAAATCAAGTTAGTGTGAGATATGCCCCAGTTGAAGAAGTGAAAGAAAACAATTGTGGTTTGGGTGCATGCAAGACGGAGCGAAAGATACAAATTAGAAGATGAGGGGTTTAGTTTGTCAAACTGTCAGTGGGGGAAAAAAGTTCGGAATGAATGCAAAGAGAGACGGCTGCACAGCTGCAAGAGGAGAGAGGAGATGTACAGTAATGCAAATGCAGAGAGGGCAGAGAGAAGCTCAGGGAAAGAGAGAGCTGGATTGAGATGAAGTATGAACGTAGGGCTACATAGGAGTGGGTGTAATATATAAACATGAGAAAAAGGGGTATTTAAGAGACAAATGAGACAATTTATCTGGAGACTTTCAAACCTGCAACTTAAAGCTCCAGTAAGGAGTTTTTAATTAGCTAAAAGTGATGTCGTCAACAGCCGGCAGGGGAAGTATGTGACAATCAGATAGACTTTCCAAAACATACATGTAAGTGTATATTTAGTCCACAGGGGGGCGCCAAAATCAACACAGACGAGAAGTTCCTCACAGGAGCTTTAATTCTGAAAATCTTTTAAATGGCTGTTTGGCGCTATTATCGCATCCCAAGCTCTAAATGTCTCATCTTGACCTCAGAGTGAATTCTTATGCTGCGTTCGAGTTACCTTGGAAGTCAGATGTCGGAGCTAATAAACGACGTCACACCTGAGTTACAAGC